GGGGGGGGGACCTCTTCGCCCTGCACCAGGCGCCAAAATCTTGCTGCTACACCTGGTTCCTCCCTCCCCCTAGCAGCTGCCAAATTTGAAAACCCTTGCGATGGCTGAGATTGTTTGCCGTAAAACTGGGTCCAGCTGATCTGTACTTATGGCTGCTGCACATTGGAAAAAAGCTACACAGAGCATTGAAGAACACCTCTCCAGCCTCGATCATCCTGCTTAGGGCTGCTCATTTCCTTTATTGATTCCCCCCCATTTCCAAAAGGGGCTCGCTTTCCGTGATCTGTACACCATCTTGCACCAGTTGTAGATTCCACCTCCACATCACTGTCCATGGTCTTTCACTTGAAGGTTTGAAATGTTCGTTGCCCAGGGGGCACCGGGGTTTGGCCATGGCTCTTATGACAGGGTTTCTGTTAGGGAGAGGGCATGGGGGGGGGAAAGGATCAGGGAAATCCCAGGGGGGGCGAAGTGGGAAGGAGGGTTCAATATGAGTCCAATCCTTGAAAACCAAATTGTAATCCCTTGCCCCTTCCAAAACTTGATTGCTATCTGGGTTGTCCTTACTCCATTCTACCTTTGCTAGCCATCCTCCCCTGTTCCCCCCCAACCATTCCTTACGAAATTTAGTGATTGCCCGTCTTACATCCCCAATCTGTTGATACAGGTCCAGTTGGAGCTTCAGGGCAAGCCATCTGCATGTCAGATCTAACTGGATCTGCTGTTGGATTTGTTCTGTAATCTCTGCTCCCTCTACACATACTTTTTTCATGATCAACGGGCACCGCTGCCACCATAAAGCCCATAACACTGCTCGCCTCCCCAGCATATACATATAGTATGTGAAGGCTGTTACCTCCTGCTTTGGCCAGTATCCCGCCAGGATCGCCTGCCAGGACCAGGGCCAGTTACATTCTGTGCCCATCTTCCTCCACACCGGATCCCACCATCTCCATGTAAACTGGGCAATCTGGCACTGCATGAAAATATGTTCTATTGTTTCTGCCTTCTTGCAGGCTGGAAAATGCCTAAGACAACACAGCACCATGGCGATGCTAGCCCCTTCTGTTCCAAGTTGGTTGGTGGTGATTTCTATATGTACATTCTTACCACCAACGATAATGAGAAAAGCTACGATTTGATTCAGCTATTTTATGAAGATCATCTCTTTTTTTTCTAGCAAATCCTTGTTTTTTCGAAGCATCCTGTATTTCAGCAGATAAAGATTGATCTAAACCAGTCGTTGGTTGGCAGACAGCGGTGTGCTATTTGCCACTGTAGCGAGGTGATCTTGGCCGGTTTGGACTTCCGCTCTTGGAACCACTTAATCGGTGTGAGCTGGCGGCGGTCCACATTGGGGGTTTTGTCCCATCGCTCAATGATCACCTCTCTCAGGTTGCGCTTGGGTCTTAGCGTCCTATATGTAGACTTTACTGACAAACCGTGCAGGCTAAAATGTTTCGTAGGTGGACCAGCTCGCATTGGGGGAGCTTTCCACTGCCATTCCAGCGGGTCGAAGGCCAAATCCTGAATGCTTATCCATGGCTGAAAGACCACATATTCCTTCTTTTCCTTCAGGACCCTGATGCGGTGTAAGGTGTCTCGGTCCTGCCATTCAAAAGGAGCCCGACTGCCCTGCAGGCTGCTGGCCCGGGAAAAGCTGTAATTTTCTATCAAGATCGTACTCGGGTCTGCCATGTGAATTCGTCCCACCCATTCAGGGCTCCCCCTGACCGCTACCCAATCCCCTTCTCTAAGAGTAGGCCCCTGTTGCAGAATTCTGTATCAGGCCAGGGGTATTGTCTCAATGATCGCTTCAGTGTGTTGTTCTATGTGATGGCAATATCGAAGGGACTCTCGTAATTGATCTGCTGTCTTCCAGTCTTTCCTCTCACTGTCCCACAAGTCTTTAATACGTAATATTCCCCACTTGACCCAGCTTTTCCATGGCATATCGATGCTGATCCTTACACAACCGTGGGAGTCTGTGAGCCACCGGTTCCCAAAGAGGGACTGCCTACTTATCTCTTCCCATCGGTCTGGGTGAGGTTTGTCCGGCAGCGGTAGCTTGCGCCACTTCTTCAATAGGGATGGCCAGAAGCTGTCCTGCAGCTGGTTACATTCCTCCTCCTCCCGCTGCATGCCTTGCTGCCTTACTGGGAACCGCCGCGGGATAGCTCAGAAACGGTCTTCTAGCCATGTCGTTGGGTAGATTTTCGGGGCGGTTTCTAGCGCTAGGCGGGTCTTCTTTTTTTCCTTTTTTACAGTTTTCTCTCAATTTCAACCTTCACTACCTAGCTACCACTACTACTCAGCCCATACAGGGAACCCTGCAAGCATAGCTACCTCTCGCAATTAAGGAGATGCATGGGTGGGGCCCAGGGAGTAGGATGGGGCCCAGGGAGTAGAGCGGGGGACCGCCCATGGTGGGGGCCGGCTAACGCGAAGACCAAGCACTTTTCCAATAGTGGCGCCTCCCATCTACTTCCCCCACCCCCATCGAGTAACAGCAGTGTCGATGGCCAACACTCCAAGTTTATTTTACGATGATGTCAATGGTATTCACACAACTGGCATTAATGTCGAGGCATAACACTTCCGGTATTTCTTATCCATTCGACTGTGTGACGAACTAGCTTCTGTAATGCGCGACTTTCGGCGCGAAGTGGTGAGCGGGGTCCCACATCGAGTGGATGGGTTGATGGAAAATTGCATGTGTGTCCTTGTTTTTTTTTTTTTGTTGTTTCTTCGTTATCGCACGAGCCCCTGATGACAGTTGGGGACAATTCGGGAATACGCGGGGGAAAGGGGGCGAAACTTGGGCGGATGCGGAGTGCGCGCCGAGTGCGCAATTAATAAACATTGACGTCTCTTCTTTTCTTTCAATTTTGTTTTGTCGAACTTTTGGGCGCGCAAACATCGCGCAGGAATTTCGGTGTCTCTTTTGAATTTCTTTCTTGAATTTTCTTTTCGAATCTTGGTCGGAGCCATACGGCTTTCGGAATTTTGATTTTCTCTTCGGACCTTTTCGGCAGGCTAGCTAGGAATTTAAAAAATTTTGAAATTCCTGCTTTTCTGGGGCGCTGCTCTGCATGCTCGCGCGCTCTTTCCTGCTGCTGCGCCGGAACCTTGATTGATTGGCGCCTTAATCCTTTTGCAACTGTAATTTTTGGCGCACACTTTTGTAACTGTATCTTTCTGTTTCTTGCTTCTTCTTCTTCCCGCCTCGTTTCTTCCTTTCCCCCCCCCCTTTGCCTGCATTGAGTAGCCGCGGTTGCATGTTCGGATCGATGCGTGGAATGGGTACGTCCCCCACGCCTCGGCCCGACCATGCAAACGTAGGCACTCCCTTTCCC